GCTCTTTTGCTATTATTATTTTTGGAGTTATTTTTTCAATCTCGCCTGAGAAGTTAAAAGGATGAAAATTCTAGCGAGTACAGGACAATCCGCTTTCGAAACACCGCCCGTTATCTGTTGCAGGGAACCGGCGGAGATTGAGGGTTGGCCCACCAGCGAGTTGCAGTAACTTTGTCCTACATTAACCTGCACGTAATCTAACAAAGAGAAGAGCCGTGGAAATTAAATTTAATTCTCTATCACAAACCTTTGTACAACACTATACACATATATGAATGGCCACTTACATGCCCATTTTCATCAGTGCCGTTGTTAGTCAGTTTCACTTTCTCGAATGATATGATCTGCTTTAACAGCTGCTCGCCTGTAAAAGGTGAGTCTGGATGCATATAAAGTCTAACAGGAGCTGGTGGATCAGCTTTACCTGCCACAAGCCATGTTGAACGGTGGTAGGCGTATCTATAGCGTTTGTCGTCAACAGGCACTATATCCATTAGGACCATGTAATTTGCATCTAGGCTGACACCGTTCAGTGATATTCGAAGGGTTGGAAACATTCTCCTTTGGAAGAAAGTCAAAGCTAAAAATTAAAATGTAGGTGCCCCATTTGTTTCCCTCCCTTGTACACATGATTCTAACATTCTAGAACGTTACTATTTTCTCTTTATAAAGTCACTAGAACTGGGGTTAATTTACTCGAACACCCTTTGTCTTCAAAAGTTTTCAGTTATCCTTGGCCAGTCTGCAGCACTCGGCAGTTGACATAACTCACGAAATTAGTGCACCAAGTGCGATTAAAATGAATACAATTAAAAAAAATAGTATTTTGTTACAACAGCCTAGACCTAGTTAATCTTGTTCTAATAGAACAATAACTCATTCTTGTGTGGCAGAAGCAAGAGACAATTGCTAAGACCTTGCCTTGAGCAATGAAATTGACCATCTTGCAGTATTCCAAGGAGTTACACAGAACAAGGTAGCAAATGTCAAGTTATCGCTGAAAGGGATGCAGTGATTTACATTAACAACTATGAATCGTAAACCTTCGTGAAAATTAATCACAATGCAAATTTTTTTATTGAGTTTTCATGCTCTTTGTTTTAAACACCCCTCCTGTAAGCATAGTGTTCTCCGAAGCCACACTTAGAAAGAAACGGTACCCGAGGTGGTCTTCCCGGAGTGGGAACTGTTCCTATTAAAATTGCCGGTCCTTTCAGAATAGAATATAACATTGAACCAGAAGAGATTATTTCTGGTTTTAAGTAAACCAACTGGCTACGTAGATCTTTCATCTATTCATTTGAAAACAATCGATATCTGCCTAGCAAGACAGAGCCGTGGAGGAAAGAGTCCGTTATCTGAATGTTATTTTAGCTTACCTAATTAATTGTTTCTGATGGTATTTTTGGAGAAATATCAATTTAATACATAAAACTGTGCTATATGCCAAGTAAAGAGGGTTAAGATGGAGAAACATAGATTCAATCGCGAATGCCAGATCTTAGGTAAACAGAAAACTCGAGAGGGCTGCCTCCCTCGAGAAGCATAGTTTGTATGGCGTATTCCGATGTGCTAAGTTTATCACTTCAAAAGGGTCTAAAAAACTTTATGATTGGAAAGAGAAATTTCGAGTTAAAAAAGACAAATCTAAACCTGGGAACCAAGAATAAAAAGTTCTTGTCAAACACTCTCACATTTTCTTTTGTTCTAATTCATAGTTACATAACAGCCAAGCAGTTGGAAATACATGATGTTGGCAAGAGCAAGCCATGGACTTGGCATACCGAACGTTCACAACTTAACGCACACTTCATTCCAATTTCACTTTTTATAAATATCACTTTAAGGAGTTTACAATTGCTCAATGTAACTAGTTAGCTGGTTTCGTGAGTAATTTTGGATAGCATTCACAATACCTGTCAGTAAGCCAATAAATAAAACATGGTGTGAAGTATCCAAGTCACTGCGGTCGCCTTTGCAAAACAACCGAATCATTTAGACCACATTATCGCACACGAAATACTCCGTTTCAAGTATACTGTTTTTCATCGCCATGAACGTTTATATCAACGTCTTGCCACCACGGTGAAATCACGGCGTTCGGTAAGACTTGCTAGCGTAAACATTTATAGTTTGGTATGCCGTCTGCGGTCAGCTTGGTAATGGCTTCGTGAAGATTGTTCGCAAGTTCTCAATTTTGGTTTCTTTCTAAAAGAGTAGTTGTTGGTTTTTAAGTCATTTAACTATTCTTTAGTTAGTCAGGACCTTAAGAACATCTCAAAACAATAACCTTTCAGTCGTACATCGCTAAGGAATACAAAGCGGCTTCAATCTCACCTTCCTGACTTTGTTATGATCATTTCTGTTCCCAATTCATTGAAGCGATCCCATAGATCGCGACTCTCTAAAGTAGCTGTAATAGTTTCTATATCTTCAGAGACTTCTAAAGCAGAACAAGTCCCATTAGGAGCATCATCGGTACCGTTTTCCTCGCAAGACCTAAGCCTCTTTGAAGATGTACAACCCGGCACGTGAGTATCTTCACTGGCGCAGGGTTTCTTCCTCTTGGCTTCATCTGCGCCTAAAGATAATAAATAGGAAGGACTCAAAAGTGTTTAGATCTATTCAATAATCGCTTCACTGGGAAGAGGGGTCTAAAAATACGAAATTTCACCGTTCCCCAATTCCCCAAAACTTGCAGTGTTCGATATTATTACTTAGTGATCGATGAGAGCCAGTTTATCAATTGTCAAGGCGCACAAGACTACCATTCGAGATCAAATACAATTTCAATGATTTCACAAGAAAAATGAATTCCCAATGATCGAAATGGGATCCAAATTCATCAAAACCGTTACTT